ACTCACACGGCTAGGTTCCGAATCCATACATCAACCAAGTCCGATCGACAAAGAATAAAAAAAGAAGGAATAAAAAAAGAAAAGAATAAGAAAAGAAAGAATAAGAAAGAATGAGAAAGCTTGAACAAGCAAAGAAAAGAAAAGAAAAGAAAAAAGAAAGAAAAGAGAAGCTTGGGCAAGCAAGACAAGAAGAGAAAAGAAAAGCATAGAAAGAAAAAGAAAAGAATAGAGAAGAAAAGAATAGAAAAGAAAAGAATAGAAATAGAAAGAAGAAATAAAATGCATTTTTATGCATTATTACATATGCATTTCATTTATGCATATTCCCATGAATTTTATTATGGTTAGAAAGAATAGAAGAGTAGCAAGAAGAGAAAGAATAGAAAGAGTAAGAAAGAAAGAACATAAAGAAAGAAAGAAACAGAGAGAATTAGAAAGAAAGAAAAGAACAGTGAGAATTAGAAACAGAGAAAGAAAGAAGAAGAGAATTAAGTAAGGAAAGAATCAAAGAAGAAGAAAAGTTAAGAGATTTACTTACGGAGCTTTTTTATGCTCACCTCGTTGTTTTTCCATGTTTTTGTAGGAAATAGGTGAGCAACGGTCGGAAGGACGTCGACAAGCAGAGAGAATTGGCATTACTGTCCACCGTTGCTAAATTTTTGTACTTGTTATTTTGATATATGTAAAGAATTATATTTTGTATGTAAAGAAAAATTTGGACCCAACTATTTTAATATGCTAATTATGTATGTTTTCATAGTATATGTTATAAAATATACTATTAGAAAGAAGTTATTACAAAAAATGTGACATCTGGTTATGGCATCGGCGCCTCGGACATGCTTCGTTAAGTTATCTGAAGAAACTTTTTCCAAGTTTGTTTGAAAAAAATGATATCAGTAACTTCCACTGTGATGTTTGTGAACTATCAAAAAGTCATCGAGTCCTATTCCCAATAAAATTAAACAAAAGTCCAAGTCCTTTTATGCTTATACATTCAGATGTTTGGGGGCCATCACAAGTTACTACTTTAGGTGGATCTCGTTGGTTTGTTACTTTTATTGATGATTGTATAAGGACGACTTAGGTATGTTTAATGAAATCCAAAGGGGAGGTTAATTTGCTCTTTCAGAAATTTCACAAAATGGTTCATACGTAGTATAATGCACAGATTTAGGTCCTCCGAAGTGATAATGGAGGAGAATATCAAAGTTTAGATCTTCAATAGTACTTGACAACATATGATATCATTCATCAGACTAGTTGTCCCAACACACCCCAACAAAATAGTGTTGCTGAGCGAAAAAATCGGTACTTATTGGAGGTCGTTCATGCCTCATTAATAGTAGCTCACATGCCGTTATCTTTTTAAAGAGAAACACTTACTTCTGTAGCCTACCTAATCAATCGGGCGCCCTTTAGTTCTATTGAGTTCCATACACCTTTTTAGGCTCTTGGTAAAATAGCAAATGCTCCAACGGTCCTGAACTTACCACCTAACGTTTTTGGTTGTATCGCCTTTGTTCACCTCCATAAACATCAACGCAATAAGTTCTCCCCTCGTGCATTGAAATGTGTTTTTGTTGGGTATGGTGTTCATCAAAATGGGTAGCAATGTTATCATCCTCCAACTCAACAAATGTTTGTGACGATGGATGTTGTTTTCCATGAAAAATTGATGTGTTTTTCCTCTAAGTCTGAACTTTAGGGGGAGTATTGTGAGGAAGAAATTCAGACTCTTGACTATGATGTTCAAGATGTTGTTCAAGATATATGAGACTATGAGTCACAAACTAGACCTGTTGTTCAACAAGAAGATGAAGTGGATGATGAAAATGTAGAGGTGGTATCAAACCCGTCTGTAGAAACTTCTCAGTCCAAGTCTCTCATTCCTGGTATGTCACAACCACCATCTGTTGAGAATATTCCTAATTTAGAGTTTGAACCAATTGAGTCTGAACCAATTAGGAAATAGTTACCACCACGTAGTACTAGAGGAATTCCTAAACCAACATACAAACTTAAGCTATCTAGTAAGGTGAAATACCCCATGAGTCATTATGTGTCCAACCTTTGTTTGTCAAAATCAAAATTTTCATTTGTGAATCAATTATTTGCTGTATCTATTTCTAACAGTGTGCAGGAAGCATTATCTGATCCAAAATGAAAAGCTGCCATGAATGAAGAGATGAAATCATTACAGAAGAATGAGATTTGGGAACTTGTTGATCGTCCACCAGGAAAGAAGACTGTTGGATGTCGATGGGTTTACACTGTGAAGTATAAAACTGATGGTACGATTAAATGATTTAAAGCAAAACTAGTAGCAAAGGGGTACACCCAAACTCATGGGATAGACTATATAGAGACATTTGCACCTATAGCCAAAATCAACACAGTATGTCTCTTGTTATCTTTGGTTGCAAACCTAGATTGGTCATTACAACAGTTCGATGTGAAGAATACTTTCTTACATGGAGAATTGTCTGAAGAGATCTATATGGATCCTCCACCAGGGTGTATTCTTCCAGGGAGGCATAGCCAAAAGGTTTGTAAGTTAAAAAGTCATTTTATGGGTTAAAACAATCTCCGAGGGCATGGTTTGGGAGGTTCACCAAAGCTATGAAGTTTTTTGGCTACCATCAGAGTAATTCAGATCACACACTATTTCTTAAAAAATAGCAAGGAAAGATCACTGCACTTATCGTGTATGTGGATGATATGGTGGTTACAGGAAATGATTCAGAAGAAAGGAAGGCTCTACAAAAGTACTTTTAAGAAGAATTCGAGATGAAGGACTTGGGTTCTTTGAAATATTTTCTCGAAATCGAAGTGTCTCGATCTAACAGAGGTATCTTTCTATCACAAAGAAAGTATGCCTTGGATGTACTGCAGGAAACTAGTATGTTAGCATGTCAACTAGCTGATACATCAATCGAAGAAGGTTTGAAATTAGGAGTCGAGACTGATCAAATACCAATTGACAAAGGGAGATACTAGAGACTCGTGGGAAGATTGATGTACTTGTCTCACACTAGGCCAGATCTTGCTTATGCATTGAGTATAGTCAGTCAGTTCATGTATAATCCTGGAGAGCAGCATATGAACGCAGTTATGCGTATCTTGAGATATTTAAAAATGCTCCTGGAAAGGGAATCTTATTTTCTAAAAACAAGGACTACCAAAATGTGAATGCATATACTGATGTTGATTGGGCTGGAGCAGTGGATGATAGACGATCTACTTCTGGTTATTTCACTGTAAAACCCCCCTCTAGTCAGGTATCCTCTGAATATCCCTCAATGAGAATCCTGAGGATACATGTCCGGAGAACGAGTTGTATTTAGAAAAAATCTGTGTAAGGATAATAATAATAATATCCAAAACATGCATATAAAANCAAAAGAAAGGAAGGCTCTACAAAAGTACTTATCAGAAGAATTCGAGATGAAGGACTTAGGTTCTTTGAAATACTTTCTTGGAATCGAAGTGTCTCGATCTCACAAAGGTATCTTTCTATCACAAAGAAAGTATGCCTTGGATGTACTGCAAGAAACTGGTATGTCATCATGTCAACCAGTTGATACACCAATCGAAGAAGGTCTGAAATTAGGAGTCGAGACTAATCAAGTACCAATTGACAAAGGGAGATACTATAGACTTGTGGGAAGATTGATGTATTCGTCTCACACTAGGCCAGATCTTGCTTATGCATTGAGTATAGTTAGTCAGTTCATGCATAATCCTGGAGAGCCGCATATGAACGCAATTATATGTATCTTGAGATATTTAAAACATGCTCCCAGAAAGGGAATCTTATTTTCTAAAAACAAGGACTACCAAAATGTGAATGCATATACTGATGCTGATTGGGTTGGAGCAGTGGATGACTGATGATCTACTTCTAGTTATTTCACTTTTGTAGGAGGTAATCTAGTCACGTGGAGAAGCAAGAAATAGAATGGTGTGGCAAGCTCCAGCACTGAAGCAGAATTTAGAGGAATGACACTTGGGATTTGTGAAGCTTTGTGGCTAAGATTTCTGCTGCAAGATTTGGGCTACCAACCTAATCAACCAATACAGTTATATTATGACAATGAAGCAGCATGTGATATTACTCACAATCTAGTTCAACATGATGGTACGAAGCATGTTGAAGTAGATAGATTTTTCATCAAAGAAAAATTGGATGAAAAGATTATTGAATTGCCCGAGATTCAATCAGAGGATCAATTGGCCGATATTCTTACCAAGGCTATCTCCAAACGTATTTTCTTACAAGTTTTAGACAAGTTGGGCATGTGTGACATCTACGCACCAACTTGAGGGTTTCCTGAATATTTCTAAAATATTATGTAATCTCTTAATTTTGTCAGTTTTGGGATACTCATAACATTTTTGATATCCTGTAACCTCCTANGATATTCTTACCAAGGCTATCTCCAAACGTATTTTCTTACAAGTTTTAGACAAGTTGGGCATGTGTGACATCTACGCACCAACTTGAGGGTTTCCTGAATATTTCTAAAATATTATGTAATCTCTTAATTTTGTCAGTTTTGGGATACTCATAATATTTTTGATATCCTGTAATCTCCTAATTATGTTGGTATATTGTAATTGACATAATTATGAGATTTTGTAGATTGTATCTCCTCTATGTAAGGCTTGTAACTATCAGTGTAAATATCAATGAATTGAAATATTTAATTTTTCACAAAATATTCAATCGATCATCACCATTCAATTCATCGGCCTCCAATCTACAAAAACTCTCTTACCTTGAATCTTGGCAACTCGCCAAACGCCGGTTGAGAAAGTGAAGTATATTTTGGGTATTAAAGGAATATAAACGTTGGGTGGGAAAGTGGTATTTTGAAACCTTTGGGTGGGAAAGGTAATTAAGGAAAACCTTGGGTGGCAAAAGGTGTTTACTCTTTTCCTAATAACTAAAAAAACAGTAGTCCGCCATTTCCTCTTTAATCTTCTTGTTCCTCAAACGCCAAATTCGAGAAACGAGCGTACAATCTGGTGATAATTGAATCGATTCAACAGAGCAAATCAGCAAGATGATTAGTGAAGATCTTGGCGTTGAGGCTAAGGAAGCCGCGGTTCGAGAGGTCGCAAAGCTCTTCACTCTTCCCGATCTCCTCCAGTCCATCGCCGACATGAAGGCCGATTATATTGCGCGCCAACAGGTTCTAATTCGCTTAATTACATATTCTTTCATTTACGTTTCACTAATTCCTTTTTTTTAGAACAAAACTGTATTCGAATCATATTGAGGAAGTATTTCTTAATTGCGGAGTGTTTGGTTTAATATCCAGTTATAATTCATTGTTTTTCGGATATTATAAATATTGAGAATAGGATTTGGAGATTTTATGACTGAATGCCGCCTTAGATTTTGATAACTGAGATGGAGTTTTCTTTTTTATTGATAGGCAAATGATGCGCAACTTAGTACAATGGTGGCGGAGCAGGTCTGGTAGCGAAAAATTTTCTTTTGGTTGTTGAAGCTGTGGCTATGTTGTTTTAATGTGATCTTTTGTGTTGTTGTGGGAACAGATTGAACAGGCACAGAACGGGTTGGAATCACTTGCTTTTTCTCAGAAGGCGATAACTCAGCTCCGTGAGAACTTCATTTCTATTGAAAAGTAAGTTGTGGCAATGCTATGAGGTTCTATATATGTGCATGAACTTTGGGGACTAGGTCTGAACATTGTTGGAATAACTGTATTTTTGGTGATAGCTATTGTAACATTTTTTTCAACTTGGCAATTAAATATAATGTTGCAAGTTGGCATTATATGGTAACAGTTGTGACATTTGGTTCTAGTAATTCCGTATTAGCTGAAATTTTTTAGGTGTTTTAGTGTTGTGGTTGATGCGGTTGTGTTGTGCATCAGGTACTGTCAAGAATGCCAAAATTTGATAGAAAATCATGATCAGATAAAGCTCCTTAGCAATGCGAGGAATAACTTAAATACAACTCTGAAGGTGGGTGTGGTATTTGTTTAGTTTCAGGAGCTTGTTAATCACGGTTACTATTATAACTTATCAAAAACAAGAAACAAAATATATAAATCATGTTTTTCATTTGTATATATGCATTTTGTACATTCTAGAGTTCTAGGAAGTTTTTTATAAGTTTGAATTGCAACTTAGTGGAATACGTTGTATATCAGATTTATTGGGTTGGACATTGACTGGATTTTGGCACATTTTGATGTTTCTAATTGAACTGTTTTCATTAAAGCAGTAGAGCATGAGGTTTTGGAGATTATTATATGTTGATATCCTTGTTTTGGTTGTGTGAACATCTTTCTAACTTCTTGATCTTTTATAGGATGTTGAAGGTATGATGTCTATTTCTGTTGAAGCAGCTGAGGCTCGGGACTCTTTGAGTGATGATAAAGAACTCGTTAACACTTATGAGGTATAACTAGTCACCTTTTATCAATGGTTGTTTCAAGTTGAAAAAATATTTTTATATTTTACTCTATATATTTATGCCTGATGTCTTTCCTACTTATCCTGAATTTGTCATAGAGGTTAACTGCACTTGATGGGAAAAGGAGATTTGCATTAGCTGCTGCAGCGTCTCATGAAGATGAAGTTGGCAGATTAAGGTCTGTATCTTTATCTTTAACTCATAGCTGAATTTGTAGGAAGCTCAAATCAATTGACTGAAAATATAAATAAATAAAATAATAAAGCAAAGCATGCTTAATATTATCTATCAGTTTATATCAGTTACTTATGTTATCCATTTCCTGTTATAGTATATATGGATTAGCTCAATTAATTTGACTTGAAATACTTCAGAGTTAAATCCCAGGAAGTTGGTATTTTTGCCCTACTCTTATTACTTGATGCATATCTTTATCTCTATTCTTATGGCTGCAATAATCACTGTGACACTGCTGAAAAAATTAACTATCTCAAAAAAACCATACAATTTCCATATTATAAATGACATTATTTGGAAGAAAGTAAACCTTATAGAAGTAATTGGAATCTGCAGAGCAGTTTCATCAAGATTTTATTTTCTTTTTCTTTCAAAGTCGTCTTACAAGACTGAGATTAGAATAGATCTCTGGAATGGGGATGGAGGGAATGGTATCTCATCTCATACTACCCATTCCAGTCTAACATAGGTTTTTTTCTTGATATCTCTTCCCCAGGGGGAAGGGAAGGCTGTTCTGGGTGATTTTTTGACCTGATTTTCGGTTTGGGGTGTAATGCTTTGATCATATTGGATCTTTTGTTTCCTATTCTTACCAGAGAATATTTTGAAGATGTTGATCAAACTTGGGAGACATTTGAGAAGACATTATGGGGTCATATCTCCAACTTCTATAAACTTTCAAAAGAAAGGTATATTAATTTGATCTGGATAGTTGTAGTTCTGGTTGTTCTTTTGTGCTTAGGAATTTTTTTTTCTTTTTTTTTTTTGGTTTTTTCTACATTGCATACAATGTTGATTAAATATTTTTTCTGTTATCCTGCATAAAAATTTTGTGGAAAGTTTATTAAATAATTATATATTGTTGATTGAATTTTGAGGTTTCACTTTGACCATTTCCTCAAAGTGTCTTTCTAGATAGATGTTAAAGTTAATTTTCATCTGATGCATAAGGAAACTAGCCTGTGTAACCATAAAAGTGTGCTGATGGTCCGAAAATACGGGATTAAGCAGTTATATGCTAAAAAAAGTTGTAGCATGATATAGGTAGCTTCTTCTGAGAAAAAAGAAGAAACACCATGTATCAAAGGCATTGGTAAATTGATTCGCTGAATTTTTTTTTTTTTTTTTTTGTGGAAACTATCATGGTTATTTTGTTGTGTTGGCAAGAAAAATCTGGGCTGAAATTCTTATGAAGAAAAAATTCAATGAATTTAGAAAAGTTGAGTGCACATGCTTAAATTACTTAGAGACCCACATATTACAAGTTGTTTCTTCAGTGCATTCCTGTGCCTATTTTTATGTGAAATCAATATAAATTCTTGCATCTGTTGCTGACCCAAATATTTGATTAGTCTTGTTGTAAAAATGAATCATTCTTTTTGCTGAATGAAATATAATACAAAATTCATATAGAATATGGCTCTGTTTTTTAACAGTGAATATACTATAAGGAATATATTTTCTGGTTTCTGGTGCAACATTGGAAAACAGGTCAGTGGAAAAGCTTCTTAGTCAACTAAAGCTCAGGTTTAAGTTTCGTAAATGTATGGATTAAAATCTTGTCTGTCATTTTCACAATGTTTTAAAAACTTATAAGCTTGTCGGGTCAGATAACCAGTGGCCATAAGCTCAGTATTGAGCTGAAATAAATAAATAAATAAAGTTAGTTTTATCTTTGGCAAGATTGTCTTATCAAAAGCTTTAGATGGAACTGGTTTATTTAGTTCCTACTGCTTTCTACAATTTTCTGTTCCTTACATTAGAATATGTAAGCCATACATTTATTCTACACCTAAACTAACACAAGCTTACTTATGTATATTTATGCTGAGTTTTGTTGTGGAACCATTATTTCTGCAAGCACATTTCTGTAAGCACATTTCTGCTAATCTACTGTATTCATGATGCTGTTGTAACATTAATTATGCATCAGAATGCCTTTGGATTTTGCACTTTATTGGTGATTATTTTGATGCTCATTTTTTTAGTTCTTTATTTTATTTTATTATTATTATTATTATTATTTTTTTATTTTTTTTTTTTGCAGCCCACAAAGTTTGGTTCGTGCTTTGAGGTGTGTTGCTGACAAACTTCTAAGCTATTTTTTTTGCTTTGCTTATAGCACACTATTGAGTCTTGTATGTATCTTTTTTTTTTTTTTTTTTTTTTTTTTTTTTTTTTTTTTTTTTTTTCAGTTAAGCCAGTTGTCATATATCTAATGAGTAAATTAGAAAGGTTTTTATATTTATTTTTTAAATTATATTTTGATATATGTTTGAATTTTTGGTGTCAAATAAGAGGACTTGAGGAAAATTTATAATTTATGAAAATGTGTACGTGTGGGTTGATCCTCAAAATAGAGAGAGGAGTTGAAGTGTGAGATGTAGGGAGAAAAGGCCATAATAGTTTTTTCATGAATAAAATATATGTTCATATGCAAAGGTCTGGTTCGAAATGTTGAAACTATTGACAAGTCTAAGCTAATAAATTAAAAAAGGGTATACTTGGGGTGATAACTGATGGCCAGTATATTTTGGGTGATTCCAAAATTGTGTGCCTTATTGCTTACGGAGGATTTTTGCACACTAGGGGAGGTAGAGAAGTGGCTGTTTTATGGAATTGTGAGTGACGACAATTCTTTGGGCTATTTGGCTGGAAAAAAGTAAGATGATTTCTTACTGGGAAAGACGCTGAATATATAAAGAATAAGGCTCGGTTTTTTGCTTGGCTTTGGGTTGCTATTCTAATGAGTGGAAGGATATTTCATTCGTTTTTCATAACGGAGAATTGGAGTGTTAGATGATTTCTATTTCTTCACTACATTTGTATTTTGTGGCTGCTGTTTCACTCTGTAACCTCTTTCTAATACGTTTCCTATTTCCTATAATAGAAAAAAGAAAAAAAAAAGAGATTAAATGGGAATTATATAAGATAAACTAAAAGGCATGAAATTCATAGCAAGCCACTTAAGACAAAAACTCGGGGCAATAAGAACTAAAGAGTTTGCTTAACAACAGGAAATAACATGCATGCCTGTAGATTTTATGGCTCATTTTTACTTTGAATATTGCAAACATTGGGCCAATATATTGCACTGGTTTGTGTTTGTAAGCTTAGTATCTCCATTCATTTCTGGTCAAGATAATATTATGGTATATTAATTCATAATATTTTACTTAAATTTTTCTTTTCACATTCTAGGGTTGTTGAAATGCAAGAAATTCTTGATCAGCAACTTGCTGAGGAAGCTGCTGAAGCTGAAGGAGGGGATGCGATGGCAACAATTGCAAATCCTCGCAGAACTGCCAAGTATTCAGCTCTATTTTTGTTTTTTATGCTTTTTTTCAATTATGGAGCATCATTTTGGTTCCTCTCATTTATCCTGCGTTCTTATTCAAGATATACTGTTCCTTTAGTGCTATTAAGCTATATATCAATGCATCATTAGTAAGTGTACACTTATGGGCTGTAGGAAAGCAGCTTCTTCCAAGAACCTGACACAGCAGAAGTTAAAGGTTCAAGACAAAGGTTATAAGGATAAATGCTACGAGCAAATAAGGAAGACAGTTGAGGAACGATTCAATAAACTTCTTAAACAGGTTATCTTCTTGTTATTAATAAGCTATATGACTACAGAATAACAAAGGATAATGTCTTTGGTTCTTTGTGATATAAAATATTTTAACGTTAATCTGTTGCATCAGTTTGTTTTTTCAGACCTAAAAGCTGCTCTAGAGGAAGCACGAACGGTATGCTTCACCAATGTTTAATTTTATGCAAATTTGTGGTTGATATCTTCTAGTGCTAGGAGTAGAAATCAATATTGCTACTTCATTTTTTTCCCCTTCTTTTTCACCCCTTTCTCTTTTTCCCTCTGTCAAATGCATAGATTTCTTTTGTTTGATTTTTTCCTTCTAATTTGCTGCTTAAGTGGGAAATTAAAGAAAAATGGAGTGTTTCATTCAGAAGTCTTTTTTTTCTCCTCTTTGTATTAATATTATTTGGTTGACTGAAACAATAATTATTTGCTTTCATCGTTAAAATTTTTCTTCTATTTCTTTTAAAAAAATGGAAAAGCTGGTGACATTCGAAAAAATTCATACTGAATATTATATAACATCCAATATACAACTCGGATAACTAATTTTTTAACATCTACGATGTGGAAAAAGTTTAGGATATTTCAAATCATAATAATACTTTTAAAAAAAGGGAAAAGTTGGTGACATTTGAAAAAGTTCATTCTGATTAAAGCAAATGATTGTCAATGGAACAAATATCCTCTGAAAGTTATTATTGTCTAGATTTTTTTACTTTTCATATATGCTTGCACTGAATGAAACTTGTCGGGGATAAAAGTGACCATGTGAAATTGGTGAAAGTCAATAAATGTTAAAAGATGTGGAGATAAAATATGCTTAGTCTCAAAGGATAAAATTTGAAAGGACAACTAGGGGTGGTATTGCTCTATGTTATGGCATTATGTTAAAGAAAATGAGGTTAATTCTGTATAGCTGCTAATAGGTCCTCCAATTATAGCACATGGATGGGTTGGGTTTCTGAAATTGCTGTCCTGTGTGCATTGAGAGGAATGGAATAGAAGCCATATACTGTATTGAAGAATGTCTATATCTTGTTTAGTAGTCGATTTGAAAGGAGCAACCTGGAGGATGTTTGATCAAAAGAAAGCTCCAAGTTTTATTTCTTGTTGGCTGTTTTGTAGAAAAAAAAAAAAAAAAGGTAAATAATATGTAATTAAGACAGACCAAAGTTTGTGGCTCATTATTCTCTTGTATTTGTTACATGGAAATTTGGGTTATAGTTCAATTAGTGGAAAAATGAGGATGTCTCTAGGTTGTTCTGGGGTTTTTCTCTTAACTTGTCCATTCACTGGTGGTGCTGTCCTCAACCATTTTTATTTGGTGTCAAAAGAGTACATTCCTTTTTCCCAATTTTATAGAACTCCTAATCCAACAGTTCATAGCACAAATTGTTTTTTTTTTTTTTTAAACTTATTTGATTTATCTTAGTTTCTTGTTCTCTTATTCTGTAATATTTTCCAGTCTTGTAATATGGAGATAAGCATTAGAGATCTTATTTCTCGAGGAACTGGAGAGTTGCTAAACCAAGAGTCACTAATATGTTTGGTCAAGAAAAGTAAAATTGAAGCACAGCCTCTCTTCTCTCTCTATCTCTGTACACATTTCTCACTCTCTTTGTCTCATAAATCGTTGCAGCAACAAGTAAAGTCTATCATTGAAGCAATTGCTTTTTTCTTCTTTGCATTATGACCACTGTTTCTTCCTTTAAAAAAAAAAAAAATCTGCATTTGTATTTAGATGAGTTTGGAGACTTTTTTTTCTTTTTTACATGGTAATGTTAATAATTGAATTTCCAACTCTTTCAATTTTACTGCCATACTTTTGAATATTTGTTGCTTTTATAATGCCCTCAAATTTTTTGACATATAGATCGGAGAAGAGCTTGGAGATATATATGACTATGTGGCCCCATGTTTTCCTCCAAGGTTTGTCCTGCATAAATCTGCCTGTTTCTCACTTTACTTGGATTTATGACAAACTGAAAGCTTTTATATCTCGAAAGTAATTTTTGTTTAAGTTGCTCCATATTCATAGTTTTTGCTGTGTAAGTGCACCTGTTCACACTTGACAGAGCCCATGCTAAAGCTTATGTGTGCACATGAGCGTGCGTTCCATTATTGATCATGGGTGGCACCAAAGATAATCTTCCTCGGAAATGATGTATTCCTTCTGATTCCATCTTTCATGTTAACAGATATGAAATTTTCCAGCTAATGGTAAACTTGTATACTGAGAGATTTATTCAGATGCTGAGATTGCTTAGTGACAGGGCAACTGAACTGACGAATATAGAGATTTTAAAGGTAAGTTTGCCTGGATCTTTATTGGATTCAGTTTCAAGCATGTCTTCTCCTGCAAGTGCAATTTTGCTAATTGACCAAAAATTGCCAGGTGTTATATTCCCTTTTAATGGCATGTTTATTGCTGGTATTTTGCCTTAGCATAACTATAAATGTTTGCAACTTGCAATTAAGGTTATTAGGTTCAAAGAAATCTAATTTTGGACCCTTGGTCCAACTTGAAGCAAATTTTTAATTCCCAGAGAAGAAATTTCATAAGCAATGGACTTAGCTATGTTTATCAACATATAATTCATTCATTTTTATATCGCAATTATGAGTTTTGAAAGATCTGCCTGCCTTTGTTAATGCTGTTGATTGATATTGTTCTCAACATATCTTCTGTAGTGCTCTATAACAAGTAATTATCACATTGCTACCTGCAGTTTGTATGTAAGGCAACTCTAATAGAACTGTAGATGGAAAGTATTAGCATTTTATCCAAGACTTAATTTCTCTTTGAACTTTGCATTTACCGTATGCTTTTATGTGCCATGGAATGTTTTTTCTTACAACATGAATTTTGTTCTTCATTGCTGAAAATTTTCTTTAATCTCTGCTTCTCCCCTTTTCACTGTAGCATTATTTCAGCAGTTTATGATTTTTAATAATTGAAACTAGGTGACTGGTTGGGTTGTTGAATACCAAGATAATTTAATTGGCCTTGGTGTTGATGAGTGTCTTGCTCAAGTTTGTTCTGAGAGTGGTGCCATGGATCCCCTGATGAATGCATATGTTCAGAGAATGCAAGCTACGACAAAAGTAAGGATATTGCTATTAAGCTAATTGTGCTGTTGTTTGGTAAACGGTAAATTCAGCTTCATTTACTTCTCATATTTAACTCCCAACTTTTTGCTTGTTCTATTTTCTAGAAATGGTACTTGAACATCCTTGAGGCTGATAAAAAACAGCATCCAAAGAAAAGTGATGATGGAAAGCTATATACTCCAGCTGCTGTTGATTTGTTCAGGATCCTTGGGGAACAAGTGCAAATTGTTAGGGATAATAGCACTGATGTTATGCTATACAGGATTGCTTTGGCCATAATTCAGGTAAAGTTCATTAATTTATATAGAAATTATTGTGTTTTATCAACCGTATTTTTTTCTGGAATCCCATCAAGTTCATATGAAAAAGAGTAATCTATTGAGAATATTCTTACAACAGCCGAAATATAGAGACACAACATTGTCAAGAATAATTTTTGTGTTATTTCGTTCCTGTGCCAACCAACTTCTGTAGCTTTGCTCGTTCATACAAGTATACTTGTGCTGTCATCATATGGTACTTAGACATGTGAATATGTACAATTGCAATATTTGAGAGAACGTTAATATTGATCTTACGCATCTTTTGTTGAAGGCAGTAGGGCACATATCTGCTTTCTCTCCTATTGTAGTTTTGTTTTTTATTTAATTTTCCTATTTAATTTCTCTAGAAATTGGAGTCCTCATTGCAGAGACTTCTGCCATGGCTACATTAATGTTTCTCTCTCTCTCTCTCTCTCTCTCTTTGTGGTTCCTTTTAATTTCTTTATAAACTCATTTGCTATGGGCTTCATTAGGTAATGATTGATTTCCAAGCAGCTGAAAGGAAGAGACTTGCCGAACCTCTTTCTGAACATGACCTGGAACCTTCATGTGCAATGGTTAGTGAAATTAGGTGTATTTTGTGTTAATGTCCATTTTTTGTTGAAGTCTTACTAATCAATTTCTTTGGTATGCTATTAATGTGGATATAGTTAAACAACAATTTGCGCTGCTATAACCTTGCGATGGAGCTGAGTACTAGCATTATAGAAGCTCTTCCACCAAGCTATGCTGAGCAGGTATTGCTGCATCATTCAAATTTCTGCTTTCCTTATTTCCCTTCTCATTTTTGGGTTCAGAATCGTAGTGTTGAATAAAGCAGCCTTTTTAACTTCCTATACGTTATGTTTTCTTTTAGCATTTAAATGGATCACTTACTGTCTGTTCATTTCTCTGTCTGCATTTTCCGCCATTCTATACAACGCGTTCACTGAATTAGTGGGATTCATAACATATTGGTGCATGAATGTTTCATAACTCATCAATGTGAGTGATGATAGTTCTATTTTCAGCAACACCATATTATACATTCAGCCCCTCTCTTAAGCTCGAATTTGTAGTTGAAGCTTATGTATTTGAACTCTGGAATATCAGCCCATAAATTCATAAACTTTTTATTCTTCTTTTAAAATCTGTTTCCTTTGGTCACTTTTGCAGATTAATTTTGAAGACACTTGCAAAGGTTTTCTAGAGGTTGCAAAGGTATTTGAAACTTGAAGGTTTTATCTTTCTCTTTTTCCTATATATAGTGTTTCAGGATGATTAACTTATATGCCTTATCACATAATCCAAATTCCATGTTTATTCAATTTGACAGCTTATTGCAGTCAAAATTTTAAATCTTTGTGTATCTCAATTTTAAGCTCTCCAGTATTTCATGGTCACTTCTTGGAGTATTACTTTGTTTAGGACCATAGAAACTGTCTTGGGGCTTTAATCACATCATCCATCAATTGAGTGGTGTTCTGCTGGTTATCTCTCACTCTCTCTCACCCTCTTTTTGATGATTTTTGTGTGTGTATTTGGGGAGGGGGGGACGGGTTGTGCTTAATGCAGTAACTTCTTTATTTTATCAAGTAGGTTGTGGTTTTAATATTTTAGCAGAAATTATTATCTTGATGGACATTATGTATATTTAAAGAAATTGTGGAACTCATATTGAAATTACTCCTGATTGTAGGAAGCTGTGCTCCTAACTGTGGCTTTTGTCATGGATGATCCTGGGGTGCAAGGGTTAATTGGCAAGCTTTTTCAGAAAGGTAAAATGTTTTTTCGGTTACTTGGTGACCACATATATGTGTTCCTTATATCGTGGTTATTGAGATATTGGTTCCATTTATTTTGACAATGTTTTGAAATTAGTCTTTCTCCTAATTGCTGCCAATTGCTTCGTCGCTGACTATTTATATGCACTTATGTATAGGATGATTTATATATTTCTAACCACCATACTGTGCATTCTAGTGGTATGTTGTGCTGAAAACGTCCTTTCCATGTTTGTTTATGATGTTTTGTGTTCAATTGCCCACTTTCCTTGTCATGTCTGTCAAACATTGTGTAATGGCAAGCAATTGACAACACCTGTACCTTCTAATACAGTTGCATGTTAATGTGCCATTTATTGATTTGAGATTCACCAGAGGAAGTTTTGCAATTCATTCTCCTTGTAACTGCTACTAGGTGGATGTTCCATGTACTCTTTTGGAGTGATGCAACCTTTAAATTTTGATGCCTGTAAAAGTATTAGATCTAGTTCCAATTGAGGAACCTGCTACTGAGCAGATGCTGCACCCACCTCACGACAAGTTGAAAGAAAAGGGTGGTAACTACACCAGGTTCCTACAGAGACCAAGCTTTATCCTGGAAATATAAGATGCTCTCAGGTCTGCACAAAACACGGATTGGCATGATCTAGGAAACACATAATAGCAAATTATCATCATATGGAACAATTTTTGGTCACTAGAAATTCACAAATTAGAAATATTGTTGGGAATATAAAGTTGACCTGTTCATCAAGTATGTTATAAACATGAGTATTTATGAAATTCAAACTCACAATAATCGAATTTTCAAGTAACTTCGTGGCTCATTAAAAATTACCATTACCCCTGAAACTCTTTTACTGTTCGGGAAATTACCTCACCCCAATTAAAGATTTGATGGAATTGCTTGGTAAATTTAGTACTAGAACATATAACTACAACTTGTTTTATTCAGTACGGCTCTCTGATGTACATCATTTGAGATTATATTGTATTAAATGATGAACTTTCAGTTACATTACATTTCCATTACAACACCTTCGGCATCTGATTTATTCTTTATTTTCTAAATTTTTGAATTGTTTCAGACTGGTATGAAGATAATGTCACTAGGTTCCTACTTCCAACATTCGGTGATTATTTTTTGGATGTGATGACGTAAGTTCTCTTTATATTGAACTTGGGTAACCTTGCTATCCCAGCATTCTAGGCTTTCCTTGCATCCATGGACAAAATCAGACACATAATTTTTTTGTTGATATACCTTGTTCTTGTTCATTGAAACATTGGTTTCTGAAGTGGGTGTGAATGCGAAGGGTTGATCTTCTATTTTCTAGGCCCCTTCTTGAGCATTGATGTGAAATAACTGATGTTAGTGTTACTATCATCTTTAAATATGAAATAATTGCAATGGTTTAGTCTAGAGAATCACTTGTTGTGTCAAGATCTGGCAGATTGTTGCGACAATTTTTTGTTGGGATATGGGTTGCATTCATTTCTCTAGGGATAAATTGTTTGTTGTGTTCGTGTGCTGAAAGAAATTTAGCTAAATGGTCTTCTTTTTTGACAAGTTATTCTGTTTCCTACATATGTATTTATATTTAGGGGGTTCCTTCTGACTGTAAGAACATACGAGTGCGATGAGAGCAATCTTATTTTAGGTTTAGTGGATGAAGGTTTATAGAAATATGGGATTTATGTTTATGCTTAAAATTGATTTCTTTTGCTTGTTATAGTTATTTCTCCCGTAGAAAGAGAATGGTTGTTCTCTCCATGGACATGGGAGGTTGGTGGGGTTTTAAGTTTTGAGTTTTATGATGGAACCCGTATGTTTTTCCTTGTAGCTGTGTGTATCTTGTTGTAAAGAATAGCATTTCTCTCCATGGACATGGTAAAGTTTGTCAAACGACATAAATCTTGCATACTTCTGTTTATATATTTTTTTTTTTTTTTTTTTTTTAATCTTTATTTCATTGATTTGTTCTGTGAATGGGTGTTTACAAAATTGAACTTTGGTGTTAAGTTGCTTTTATTGTGACTTGAATTGGTTATCACAATTACAAGATACAATTTGGCATTGATTGTCTTAAGATTTGTTTTCAACCATGTATANTTTTCCTTGTAGCTGTGTGTATCTTGTTGTAAAGAATAGCATTTCTCTCCATGGACATGGTAAAGTTTGTCAAACGACATAAATCTTGCATACTTCTGTTTATATATTTTTTTTTTTTTTTTTTTTTTAATCTTTATTTCATTGATTTGTTCTGTGAATGGGTGTTTACAAAATTGAACTTTGGTGTTAAGTTGCTTTTATTGTGACTTGAATTGGTTATCACAATTACAAGATACAATTTGGCATTGATTGTCTTAAGATTTGTTTTCAACCATGTATAAGTATCAATTCTCAATTTTTGCAATGGGAGCGTTATTAGTTTTCACACTCATGAAAATGAAGGGTGAAGGATATAATCATTGTTCAGTATGACTTATTAAATACATTTAAGGGGATGGAAGTGTTTATTTTTCTGGTGTCTTTAGTTTGAGGTGGAACAGTTGTCTCTTATTGGCTTAATGTTCTGTAACTAAGGTTCATTGAAGAGAGATCATTTAAGAGATTTGTTGAAGCTTGCTTGGAGGAATTAGTGGTCTCTTACGTTGATCATCTTTTAACACAGGTTTTTTCCTTTATGGCAATAAAAACGTTGACATATCTTTTTCTCTCCTGTTGGACTTACTTTTGCTTGTTGTGTGACATTATCTATTTCCATGAATTAATTGTTCACCGATGCTTGTGTTTCTAGAAAGACTACATCAAGGAGGAAACCATCGAACGGATGAGACTAGATGAAGAGAGTATTACGGACTGCTTTAGGGAGTATATAAGTGTAAATGTAAGTATAGTGTAGACCGTGACATACTTAGCAAAAAAAGAGAGTAGACCGTGACATCTATTTGCCAGTTTATTACTGGTTTAGTATATTTTGTTAATTTGATTCTAAAGGTTCATTAACTGTTGTCTCTTTGGTTTTGCTTCAGAAAGTTGAAAGCAAAGTTAGGGCACTGAGTGATTTAAGAGAACTTGCTTCAGCAGAGAGCCTGGACACCTTTACACTTATCTACACGAATATTCTTGAACATCAGCCTGACTGTCCGGTAAACATCGATAAACACTGCTGTTATACAAGTTATTCTTTTTATCTCATGTAGTAATTTTTGACATTTTATTTTCTGTCTCAACTATTAAATAAATTTTCTCACTTCCTAATTTGGTGGCAGACTATAACGCTAGGTTATTATTTCTGTAAACTGTCAGCATACTTCTGTATGTCTCTTGAATTTCCTGAAGGTCTCTCCCGTGAACTTTTTGAATAAAGATTATCCGGTTTTCTCTAATTGCAGCCTGATGTTGTGGAGAAGCTTGTTGCACTTCGAGAGGGTATACCACGGAAGGACGCAAAGGAGGTATATGTAGTACTAACTTTAATGCAGTGCTTTGTTTAATCCATCATTTTTTGGACAATAACCATAAGTTGTATAATGAATTTCAATCTTTGGTTTCTACAATCCAGTTCGATATTCTTTAGTTTTTTACCGTCATTGGTTTTCATTTATATTCGGTAGCGCATATGGTCCGTTAACAACTCTTACTGATGTATTGTCAAACAGGTTGTACAAGAGTGTAGAGAAATCTATGAGAATTCTCTTGTTAATGGAAATCCACCAAAGGCTGGTTTCCTTTTCCCAAAGTTGAAGGCCTTATCAGCTTCCAAATCATCTCTGTGGCTAAAATTGGGTTAATTCAATGCCTATGCTCAACACTAAGCTTCTGCTACAGGTGGACTTCTGTAAATTCAACGCCGATACTCAGATACTCAACACTAAGATTCCGCTACAGGTAGACTGCTGTAAATTTTTACCCTCGTTTTTATTTTTCTTTTTTTTTTTTTTTCGCTGTTGCTATTCATTGTTTCTTTAGCAGCATGTTATTCTTTAATATTCAACTTCTGGAAATGAATTAATTTTTTTGTAGTGAATTTTTTTTATGCTATCTCAAGGAACTGAAGTAAATAATTAAAATAATATTTTTTCTGTGTATTGCAATCAAGTGAATCAAGCATCATAGTTTTTTACTTTAATAATTTGATGAAATATTGAAGTTCATTAGATTTATAATTTTTTTATGGATCCTAATGAATGTGTCTTTTGTGCATATTATTACAATACAACCAGTCAACGAAAACGTGTAGAACACACCTTGACTGGTTGTATTACAGTATGACGACGATACTATGATATTCTTCAATGTTTTAGTCTTTTAGATTGGATAAAACGCGTGCACGCCAGGCTTATCGTGTAGGGACTTAATTTTGCCTATTGAAAGTATTCTTTAATGCCAGAAATATGTCAATAATATTTCTCCAAAAGAATGTAGGAAATTCTACATTTATTAACCACATAATTCCTATTTACTATTAATACTGTTTAATATACAGTTGCATGTCGTCTGTAAAATCTAAAATTCAATTCCTGAACTTGAATTTATACATTTTATATACTGGTTAGCCAGATTTAATCAATGTTTTAAAACTCAANGGTTAATTCAATGCCTATGCTCAACACTAAGCTTCTGCTACAGGTGGACTTCTGTAAATTCAAAGCCGATACTCAGATACTCAACACTAAGATTCCGCTACAGGTAGACTGCTGTAAATTTTTACCCTCGTTTTTATTTTTCTTTTTTTTTTTTTTTTTTTTCGCTGTTGCTATTCATTGTTTCTTTAGCAGCATGTTATTCTTTAATATTCAACTTCTGGAAATGAATTAATTTTTTTGTAGTGAATTTTTTTTATGCTATCTCAAGGAACTGAAGTAAATAATTAAAATAATATTTTTTCTGTGTATTGCAATCAAGTGAATCAAGCATCATAGTTTTTTACTTTAATAATTTGATGAAATATTGAAGTTCATTAGATTTATAATTTTTTTATGGATCCTAATGAATGTGTCTTTTGTGCATATTATTACAATACAACCAGTCAACGAAAACGTGTAGAACACACCTTGACTGGTTGTATTACAGTATGACGACGATACTATGATATTCTTCAATGTTTTAGTCTTTTAGATTGGATAAAACGCGTGCACGCCAGGCTGATCGTGTAGGGACTTAATTTTGCCTATTGAAACTATTCTTTAATGCCAGAAATATGTCATTAATATTTCTCCAACAGAATGTAGGAAATTCTACATTTATTAACCACATAATTCCTATTTACTATTAATACTGTTTAATATAAAGTTGCATGTCGTCTGTAAAATCTAAAATTCAATTCCTGAACTTGAATTTATACATTTTATATACTGGTTAGCCAGATTTAATCAATGTTTTAAAACTCAATCCGAGGTGAAACCCGACAAAGTGGTTGGGTCTTGGGTTGACCGGTTAAACATGTTTGATCAGCGGGTCAAACCGATGCCTAAAGGTTTGAAATCTAATAAAAATATTCCTAAAAATTACATGTAAGTTCTTATACGTTTGAAATTTAGCAAAAACACTTCAAACACCAATGTCGGCGTTGGCAAATAAGGCTTGTTTTCGACAACGACAACACTCTCCCTAGCCTCCTAACCAAAACTCATCTCACCTCTCTCCCATTTGCCTCCCCAATCAACGGCGATAGTGGGCTTTTTCAGTGACATTTTTTTGTGATTTTAAATTGATTCACTCATCGGAAATTGACGTCGTTGTCATCATGGCACTCACCGGCCAATTTTCTTCAAAAGCCCTAACATTTCAAGCTTCAATTATTCACAGATTGATGTTCTAATTTCTATGGTTTTTAATGAATAGAAAATTTTGTAACCTGATTTGGTGAAGGCTCCGATTCCCAGTTGAATAGGTTCAATCGATTGGCCAGATCAGGTTTTAAAACAATGGATTTAATGTGGGATTTGTATAATTTGTTGAGGGTCTCGTATTGGTATGACGTAAAACTTGTAATTTGAAATATAAAAATTTGCGTAAGGTTAGGTATTCACTTATTTAAGAATTGAAAAGTTACCAATTAAGTATACAAAAAATTATAAAACTGATTTCATTACATAGTATCATAGCTAACATAATCTTTTTAATTTATTTTTTTATTATTATACTCATTAAATTTATAATTATTTCTGTCCCAACTGAATGGTCAAGTTGACTTTATGCTCAGTATTACCTGAAAACACTTCGAAGTATTAAATTAATCATGGAGGTAGCCGTAGCATCTAAGTTGGCCAACATTTTCTGTATGGTCTTAATTTTGAAATTGAAATACAAAATTAAGAGCTAGGAAGAGACCTCTAAAAGCAAAAAAAAGGCCATGGGTTTCATTAATTTACGCATTATGCTCTCCTTACTTATGTCATTAGCGAGGAATTTAAGGGACTAAACCACATCAAAACAACCATTACACAAACAAAATCTCACACATAATCCATTACTTAATTTTATCCTGTGCCTATCCTCCTTACCTGCCCCACTTTACTAAATAGTAAACCCAACTCTAATTATTTAATCCCCTTAGTGGGATCAAGACCCTTACAAATTTAATAAACATTGCATTTCCCCACTCATATATAAACTCAAAGCTCCTTTTTTTTCCTCAGCTCATTTTCTTAGCCGGTTTTGAGTCCATTAGAGCTACATTTTTGTAATGGAAAACTTCCCTCCATTGTTTTACAGGAACCCTAAGAGAAGCTCAAGACAGTCGAGCCGATACCTCGGAGTGCGGCGGAGGCCGTGGGGGAGATACGCTGCTGAGATTAGAAACCCTCATACTAAAGAGAGGCACTGGCTAGGCACATTTGACACTGCTGAAGAAGCTGCAATAGCTTATGATATTTCTTCCATATCATTTAGTGGTTTAGAGAATGCTCGGACGAATTTTTACTACCCGTTTTTGTCGTTTCCATCTCCTCCACCACCGCCACCTCCTCCACCGCCACCAACGCTTGCAGTGAAAGAGGGTGATCAATTTTGTATGGAGAGTGTGAGTCCAATGGAGGATGATGATGAATCTCTTGTTATTGCTTCCATCTTGCAGAGTTTTTGCCATTCTGCTAACAATTCCTTCTGTCCCTAAACTCCAAGAATTAATTAATATTTGCTCTTTATATTATTAGTTGGGCAAAACATATAAAGCTTTGTTAACATCTAACATGATTAGCAGCTTCCTTTTCTGTTCTTCCTTATATTAATTCTCTCTCCTTTTTTTTTTTTTTTAGTATTAAAATTAATTATCATACCATATGATACTAATTACAATCTTAATTTCCATCGATTGGACCGTGTAGCTTTTACCCTTTGGAATTCAAAAGGTCACAAACAATTTAAAACAAGCTAACACGTGTTATAATAATTTAAAATAAATTAATACATGTTACAATAAACAAGTGAGGTTATGCATTCATGTTATACATATTAGTATATAATATTGCTCTATTATTTGTGTAATTTAAATTATTGCGTGTCACTTATATTAAGGATGGGTAGAATAATATACATTCACTATTCCTTTTCAAAAGTATTCTATTTTATTTTTTTTTAATAAAAATATAATTAGTTAATTTTAAGAAAATTTTAATATTTAATTTTTAGTGGTAGAGAGTTCACTCTAGTGCTAGAATCGTTAGAGTGAAGGCATGAAAATTGTGGAGAGGGTATTATCCATTAAACCAATTAAGAAAAACGTTATATTGTAATTTCTTCAAAAAAAATCCTTTTAACTGTTTTAAGTAGTTTTTCCTAATTTTAATAGATAGTTTGTAAATTAGATTAACATTAGCCCACGGCCGGTCCAAGCGGTTTAGGGTAAAAAAGGGTCCAAATTTTTTATAAATTTTTTTTTTTGAATATATTATAAAAATAAAAATAGTGTATAATTTCTTATCTAGACTGACCTAAAGGGCCTTAAAAGAAAGTCAAAAAGACCTAAATTTATTATAAACTTTTTACATATATTTCCACCAAAGTTTGACGAAATAAGAAATTTGTACTTCTAGTTTCATACATGCCAATTTACACCCCTTAAATTAACACATTAAATTTTTTTTAACAATGAAATACTAAAATGGTCATTTACATGTCTCAAATTACTCACCCCCAGTTCAATCCCAAATTCGATATTTACATAAATTATCTCCACCCCTCTTCTGTCGCCGGCCATTTGGAGCATTTCGGTAGATTTTCTCACAAAAATCGATTGAAATCATTACTTTATCATTTTTCAAGTGTTTTTCCAGCCTTAATAGCCCTCAATTTGGCCCATTTTTTACGAATCTTGCAACTCAGCTCCACTGCATGCAACAACCATTTCCGGCCTCTTCGGCATGTACTTGATGTCGTTGGCCTTCCCCGACACCACCATCTTCCTCCCCTCAGCCCTCTCACCAAAACCCCTATCATACCTCATTCGTTTACTCTGCCAATCACCGGCCACTGATACCTTTTGGGCCGCGACTTCTCAAGCATTTTCCAGTCAATTAGGACATTGGAAATCACCCATTTTACCACCCATCACTTCTCTAGCATCTGCTCTCCAAACCCCCCTCCCTTGACCATGTTAGCCCGCCGGTCGCCGTCCACCTCTCCTAGTGATTTTGCATCTCCAACGGCAAGAAAAATAAATTTGAAATATTTTTTTAATATATGTTTATATTAGTAGAAGACCCTAAAGTAACTCTTGCTTATAGTCACAAATGTTCTTGAGACGGTCATGCATTAGTCAAAGCTGACATTGAACTTTCAAGAGAGACTGGCAAGTTATATTTGTCAAAATGGCATTAGAAAATAACAGAAGCCATCAAAATGGCATTGGAAAGTAATACATAATATGTATGATTTTGATAATTCCTACTATATACTTCAAGCCGCTATGTATTGTTGGGCTATGTATTGTTGGGCTTGGCCATTGCTGCTGGTAATCTTTAATATTATCCTAATTTCGAAATTAATTAGGGAACTCACAAGCAGGGAGGTCAAGGCTGCAAATCTTCAGCACAACCGCATACTCACAAACTTTTTTTCCTTTTATTTATATCCATTAACAAATTATTATCTCTTCAATCCTAAACGATATATATCATGAGACCCGATTCTCTTAGTTATTGGCACTTCATGTTGTCTAATTAGTACGAAGCATCACAGCAGCTCCACTGAGGATCAAGAGAACATCCTCTAAAACTTATCCCCGACCTCGAACATTATTAATTTATAACTGCCGCTAAATATTTAATTTAATGAGACCCTTTGCTCAGAATTCTGGAAATTTAGAGATAACTTTGACCTTCAACATTATTATAAAGCATAATAATTCGAATATGGCTCAAATTAACTCGCAAAAACGAAGTGAAAATGTCATGAAACAACTTCTTTCTATAAATCAGATCATTCATAAGCAAAACCAACTTCATCTTACATATTGTAGTGCACGATATTTTCTCGCTAATATCATAACTAAGAACACGATATACAGTAATTCCCCAAATGAACTTCTCATAATTTAGATAATATATAGAACATCAGTTGTACTCAACGAAACTCTATCAACAAGCTTCATAATTTGTCACCAGTCAATCAGATCTGAGCGCAGATCAGAAGCTGAAGTGATCAGTTAATCTGTCCACCGCTCCCTGACCCTATGCCCGGCCGTAGAGGCGCCGCCAAGCTAACCGCAGGATTCCCTCCCTGTATGCAAATATCCATAACACAAAAAAAAAAGTTATAAAAAACTTGGAAGAGAGATCCTTTTAATTGAGCAACAGGTGCAACTATGAATATAATAACATCAATTGCTCGCCTAGAAAATAACTAATATATGAAAATTCTGAAGTGCGACGTCCTGAATTTTTAACGTGTGGATCACAGGTGAACGATTTATAGCTGGTTTTTTATATTGTATTTTGTGAAGGTAGCAACTAGTTTGGGACGTTTGCGGTAAGTACTAAGATGTAGCAGGAGAGAAAGAGTTACCAAGGGAGGATCAGCTCGAGGGCCTGCAATTTGCGGATCAGTGGCTGTTGGATCAGTCACTTGGGGAGTTGTTTCATGAACCTTTTGATCTGAATTACTTGAGGAGTTTTCATGGTTTGTTATGATTTGAAGGCCTAAACACTTGTGAATGGCGCTTAAAGCTTCGAGAAAATAACATGAACGGTATGCAGTTGGTGTTTCTTGAGTCTTCTCCTGTGATGAAGATGATGTTGATGATGATGATTCCTCCATTTTTTTTTCTTTCTATTTTTTAATTATTTTTGTTGATCTTCTTCTTCTTGTCTCCTTCAATAACTCTGTCTTAAATGCTTTGCTTTGGGTGGTTTGATGTGGTTTGTCCTTTGACTACTGCTGCAACATGAATATACCTTCAGCATTGGGTGATAAGTACAAAACTTTCCCCAACTTTGATTTATTATTCTCTATCTCTTATTATTTATAAGTTTTAATATTTCATTAATTTCAAATACCCTTGGGAGATCATTTATTTTTTTATAGTTTTGTAGCATATCAAAGTTTGTAAGAAATCATCAAACGTTGCTTTATAAATTACTAAATAACCCATAAATTTTTTTTAAAAAAAAAAAAAAAAAAAACACCTATCTCAAAGAGATTTTTAATAATTATATACTATTTTTGTTAGTTTCTAATTATGTTGTATGAATTCCAAATTAAACAATCTTGTAAAGGCATATAATATTAATTTTTCCTGTAGCTCACAATTCACATATGCTTTTATATTAGTTGCTCCAAGGCCAACATTAAGATTTATAATATGATTATAGGGTTAGGTTATAACTTATAAGAGTTTCATAATTTTATAAGAATTTTGAAACAATTTTTTTGTCTTTAAATATACTTAAATGTAGGTGATCAATTATAATTACCTTAGTTTAAATTATTTACATACTCTTAAAGGTATACTTTACTTACAAAGTAAGAATCGCAACTAATTAACGTAATAATAATTGTAGTTGTTAACATGATAGCATTATATATATATGAAAATTCTTTGATCATGACCGTATTTGAATGTTCTTTTAACATAAGTATAAATAATGATAGGAAGTTGATTTGGCAATGTTACGAGAAGTTAAGTAAAAGAGTTTTTTAAATCAAATTACATTGGTCAAATAGAGAGTTGGAGTCTCATTTTTATATGTACGTAAAATTATTGATATAATATATCACCAAGACCTGAAATTAGCTATTATGTGAATCATATATAACTATTTAATTTTAAGTTGATATTCATAATAATAACTCCAAGCGTCACCAACTTAGATGATCACATTAATGACGGATCATTATTGTTATTATTAATTCCATAAAATAAATAAGTCCAAGAAGTCCTTAAAACGTTGGTACCAGCTACAGTTTTTACTTACTTGATGCAATTGCTAAGAATTATAATCAACATCCAGTTCAGCTATGAGTTGTTGCCTTGACCATTCTCTGGAATTATAATAAATGAGACTTAAAATAGTACATTAACTAAAATTTGTAAAGGGAAGTGGAGAGAAATATGAAATATAAGGTTATTAATTACAATAATACTATACTTACAAAGATTTTTATACAAAGTGATGTGACAAAAAATGAATATAAGAGTGAATTTAATGAGTTTGACTTTTTGTTTCACTCTTTTATTCATTTTTTGTCACCTCACTTTATATGGAGATTTTTGTAAATTTTTTTTGTAAGTATAGTATTATTCTATTAATTAATATCATTCAATACCACTACCTACTCTTAACTGATATGGATGTGGGGTGACAGTACGCAGTTCTTATTTACTTGTCTTTTATACTATAATCTCATATTTAATTCTCTAAATTACACTTAAATAAAACATAAGAAAGAACTTACAAATTTTAGAAGGTGTTTAAAATAATCTTTTTTTAAATTAATTCACAAAGGCTTTTTATGAATATTAGTACCAATTAGGTCTATTAACATAGTATGGGTTAAAAATTAACTAAATTTCATTTTAAATGTTTAGCTCTTAGTGATTTTTAAATATTGTTAATTACACTCTTTTACAAAATATAAAAGAATTTCACAACTTAACGATAAATGTCAAGATTTGATTGCTGAAACGCAAAATTTGGTACAAAGAGATCAAATATTCAACCTTTACCAATGTCTAATTCAATTGCTTGCGAAATAGAACACATCTGCATTAGAAGGTTGAGTGATAATACCTTAAAATTGTTGGACGTGGTTTATACTTTGCCCGAGGTTAATACTGACACATTCAGGCTCCTACTCCCCAGTGATTGGGTTTGGAATTGATTTGTATATATTTGGAGCCTGGAAGTGTTTGGCCCAAATGTGATTAGGCTTGCTATTATATGTGTATTATAATAGTGGAAAAAACAAGTGTGAGAAAATATACTGAGAGAGGAGAGAAAGAGCGAGTTGCTGTCATTATTATTATTGTATTTTGCAGTTTTTTGAAACTCAATAGAAACTTTTCTATCTTGAACGATGATATAGTTTCTATATTAGAACAAACCAAGGTAAATAGATTTTCTTCTTTACTTTTCCTATATTAGGATATTATTTTATTTTTGGCAAATATTTTCAACAAAAACAACCATTAAATTTACATGTAAAAAACTTCGTCATAAGATCTGAAAGATTGAGAAAGTTTTTCTTTAATTTTCAACAATACCTCATGCTTTCATTGTATCTTCACATCAAGATTATGGTTACATCTCTATTGATGTTAACTTAATTTTATCCAAGACCGAGGAGAATTATGCCATAATCCTAAATAAGTTTTTATGAGCATTACATATTGCAAATACATTTAACAAGTAATATACGAGAGGGAGAGTCACATGCATGCACAGATCCATGAAATAAAGAGCTTAATCATGAATGCAATTGGCTTGAACACAAAGCTTAATCTTATTTGCACAAATATATTTTTACGATTCTTGCTTGTTAATGCTTTGGATTCTAATAAATATATATGGAGTTGGTATCAAAATGGGATCCTAAAAATAAGAGACAAAGAGATTCATATATATATAAAGATAATTAATTTTCTCTTGAATAAGATACATGAACAAACTAATAAATATAAACAAATAGCATAGTTTTGGCGAATTGAACCCATAGCCACTATAATGCAGATGTGATCAAGTTAATTAATATATTAAATTATACAAACAATTAATAAATTATGAAAGATTAATTTCAGCACTAAAAAATATTATATAAACTAATTTAGTAAGAATTCATGTCAAAGGAGAATTTGATACCAAATATTATCTTCTTCTTTTTTTGGGAGTTTAGCATCTTCATATATTTCACATTATATTCAATAATTGATCAAAATGGGTTTGGTAATTATCCAATAAATTAATTAAAGTGGGTCTATTTGTTTGATTATTTTTGCATTATCCTATCCCTATCCTACCCAAAATACACATTTGTTTCCATATTCTGTAAATTTTATTCTATTGTGTTCAATTATTTTTAAACCTCCTAAGTTTGTTAATTTAACTAAACACCCAAAAAAAGTTTAAAAATTAACAAAAACACCCCCACCCACCCACATTTGTCAGATTCTGACCACCACCAGCAGAAGGTGGTCAGAATTTGGTATAATGACGTACTACCGGTTGGATCTGATCGATCTAGCCTTTTTCCGATCAGATCCAGCGTAGATCTAGCCGGAAAGGCCAAAGATTTGGTTGCTGATGACCAGATCTTTGGTCGAAGTTGGTCATCAATGATAGCGAAGATATGGTCGTTGTTGACCATCAACGACGACCATATCTTTGGTCGTCATTGATGACGAATGTGGCCAGATTTGGCCAAAAAAGGTCATATTGGCACACATTGACTAGATCGAGCCAGTCATACACCGATACGACGACTCCAGCCACCTTTTGGCGGTGGTGGCCGGCTGTCGACATTTAATGGGTGGGTAGGGGTGTTTTTGTTAATTTTTAATATTTTATTGCAGGGGTGTTTAGCTAAATTAACAAACCTATGAAGTGTTTTTGTTAATTTTTAAATCATATCTTATAATAACCACCCAACTCTTACTTTTTCAAAAATCATATCCAAAATAATAAAACAAATAGATCCAACCCAACCTAACACATGAAAACATAGAAGAAAATTCCAAATAGAAGGAGTACACATGCAATGATCTTAAAGGCCACATGAACCTCATATTTTCTATATTCACAAAAGGCACGTAGCTTTCTCCATCATGGCCTTCCACCATTACTATAGCCTGGAGATTAATTGGGAGTTTGTGATTAGTGATAATTTGTTTAATTATTTTCTGATTAAGATTTTCTCAAGTGATTAATTAAGTTAACTTTGAATAAGAAAGATTATCATAATTACCAACAAAAAATATCTGGATTTAGTGCTCAAATTGTGCACTTTGATGCTCTACTCGATGCCTGAAGGCAGATTCTTCACTTTTTTTTATTTTATTTTATTTCATCATCAGAACATATNGTCTAATTCAATTGCTTGCGAAATAGAACACATCTGCATTAGAAGGTTGAGTGATAATACCTTAAAATTGTTGGACGTGGTTTATACTTTGCCCGAGGTTAATACTGACACATTCAGGCTCCTACTCCCCAGTGATTGGGTTTGGAATTGATTTGTATATATTTGGAGCCTGGAAGTGTTTGGCCCAAATGTGATTAGGCTTGCTATTATATGTGTACTATAATAGTGGAAAAAACAAGTGTGAGAAAATATACTGAGAGAGGAGAGAAAGAGCGAGTTGCTGTCATTATTATTATTATTGTATTTTGCAGTTTTTTGAAACTCAATAGAAACTTTTCTATCTTGAACGATGATATAGTTTCTATATTAGGAACAAACCAAGATAAATGGATTGTCTTCTTTACTTTTCCTATATTAGGATATTATTTTATTTTTGGCAAATATTTTCAACAAAAACAACCATTAAATTTACATGTAAAAAAACTTCGTCATAAGATCTGAAAGATCGAGAAAGTTTTTCTTTAATTTTCAACAATACCTCATGCTTTCATTGTATCTTCACATCAAGATTATGGTTACATCTCTATTGATGTTAACTTAATTTTATCCAAGACCGAGGAGAATTATGCCATAATCCTAAATAAGTTTTTATGAGCATTACATATTGCAAATACATTTAACAAGTAATATACGAGAGGGAGAGTCTCATGCATGCACAGATCCATGAAATAAAGAGCTTAATCATGAATGCAATTGGCTTGAACACAAAGCTTAATCTTATTTGCACAAATATATTTTTACGATTCTTGCTTGTTAATACTTTGGATTCTAATAAACGTATATGGAGTTGGTATCAAAATGAGATCCTAAAAATAAGAGACAAAAAGATTCATATATATATAAAGATAATTAATTTTCTCTTGAATAAGATACATTAACAAACTAATAAATATAAACAAATAGCATAGTTTTGGCGAATTGAACCCATAGCCACTATAATGCAGATGTGATCAAGTTAATTAATATATTAAATTATACAAACAATTAATAAATTATGAAAGATTAATTTCAGCACTAAAAAATATTATATAAACTAATTTAGTAAGAATTCATGTCAAAGGAGAATTTGATACCAAATATTATCTTCTTCTTTTTTTGGGAGTTTAGCATCTTCATATATTTCACATTATATTCAATAATTGATCAAAATGGGTTTGGTAATTATCCAATAAATTAATTAAAGTGGGTCTATTTGTTTGATTATTTTTGCATTATCCTATCCCTATCCTACCCAAAATACACATTTGTTTCCATATTCTGTAAATTTTATTCTATTGTATTCAATTATTTTTAAACCTCCTAAGTTTGTTAATTTAACTAAACACCCAAAAAAAGTTTAAAAATTAACAAAAACACCCCCACCCACCCACATTTGTCAGATTCTGACCACCAGCAGCAGAAGGTGGTCAGAATTTGGTATAATGACGTACTACCGATTGGATCTGGTCGATCTAGCCTTTTTCCGACCAGATCCACCGTGGATCTGGCCGGAAAAGGCCAAAGATTTGGTTGCTGATGACCAGATCTTTGGTCGAAGTTGGTCATCAATGATAGCGAAGATATGGTCGTTGTTGACCATCAACGACGACCATATCTTTGGTCGTCATTGATGACGAATGTGGCCAGATTTGGCCAAAAAAGGTCATATTGGCACACATTGACTAGATCGAGCCAGTCATACACCGATACGACGACTCCAGCCACCTTTTGGCGGTGGTGGCCGGCTGTCGACATTTAATGGGTGGGTAGGGGTGTTTTTGTTAATTTTTAATATTTTATTGCAGGGGTGTTTAGCTAAATTAACAAACCTATGAAGTGTTTTTGTTAATTTTTAAATCATATCTTATAATAACCACCCAACTCTTACTTTTTCAAAAATCATATCCAAAATAATAAAACAAATAGATCCAACCCAACCTAACACATGAAAACATAGAAGAAAATTCCAAATAGAAGGAGTACACATGCAATGATCTTAAAGGCCACATGAACCTCATATTTTCTATATTCACGAAAGGCACGTAGCTTTCTCCATCATGGCCTTCCACCATTACTATAGCCTGGAGATTAATTGGGAGTTTGTGATTAGTGATAATTTGTTTAATTATTTTCTGATTAAGATTTTCTCAAGTGATTAATTAAGTTAACTTTGAATAAGAAAGATTATCATAATTACCAACAAAAAATATCTGGATTTAGTGCTCAAATTGTGCACTTTGATGCTCTACTCGAAGCCTGAAGGCAGATTCTTCACTTTTTTTTATTTTATTTTATTTCATCATCAGAACATATTCATGATCGATCAATCAGCCAATCAATCCAAAACACAACCAAACATAATTAACATCAACTTGGGAATGACACTGCGGCGAGATGGTGGCTTAGGCAAGGTGAGAAGGCCCGTTCTCGCACGGTTCAAGAGGCGCAAAATGTTGCATAGTTAATCGGTGCAACCGGTGAGCGAACTTAGGTTGTGATAAAGTGGGTTTTGGTGTGGAGAAGGAGGTGGTGCCGATGGTGGTGTTAGGTGGAGTGATTGTCGTCGGAAGCAGCCGAAAATCGACCTGAAGACAAGTAGTCACACAAACTACCAAGTGGACGATTGGTGTTGGCCGAAGATGGTAGGGGTTTTGTTGTGGAGGTGAAAGTGATGTCGATGGTGGTTTGAGGTGGGTGTAACGATGCTGAAATCAAGCTAGAGATGGTAGGGATTTTAGTAACATGGTTTAGACACATAGTCGATTGAACCGATGGTTTCACACTGTTCCACCGGTTCAACTGCTGATCAATCCAGGCTAATGGTTGAAACCGAGGTTAGGGTGTGCTCAGACCGAAAAAGAGGTTAGTCAACCATGAGACTGACCAGTTTGGTTCAGGTTTCAAAACACTGCTTGAATGTTAAGTTTATAATAAAAGTCATTCTACCAAATATCATAACATATGACTAAAATTTTACTATTATGTTATCAAATAACATTAGCTTTTTATTTATTTAAAATTTTATATTATCATCAAACTTACAAGTTATATTAAACCCTTCTCTCAATCCTAATTTTTTTTTATTTTTTATTTTTTTTATAAAAATCTCAATATTAAACTAATCTTTCGTGGCTTTCTCCGAAATTTAAGTAAGAGCTGAATAATGTTATGTTGTGTTGTGGTTTGAGTCCCACACCACAGACTACAATAATTCATTCTAAGAAAATAAATATATATACAAACAACATGTTGTATTCATCATGCCACTTACTACTTTAATTTTCTAGATTTTTTACTCAACAATCTTTAAAAGAATCTACTATGCATAATTGCATATATTTATTTTCCAGATTATATATTATATGGTTATATTTATAAAATTCTTTAAAATAATGTCACATCGTTTATCATTCAAATTCTCATAATCCAATTTTGGACTTATAAAACTACTTTATGAAAATGTAAAAGCTTCTAAGATCTAATTATAGATTAATAATGAATATTTCTTATAGAAAATATAAGATTAATATGAGTTATGACTTGTCCTAAACTCATTAATTTAAATCAAGACCCACAAATTAGTTGCTAAAATTGGCATACCTAAAAGTGCATTAATATTACAAGTTCTACAATATGTAGATTGTAGTTTATAGAAGAAGTGAGTGGTCCAAATTGATGATGTAAAAGATAATTAGTTTATATAATATATAAAAGATTGGTCCTACATATAGAGCATGCTTAATCTTTATAATTACAAGTGATGTTGCAAGTCAAGATTCAAAACCTATATTGCTTTATTTCTATTTCAACTTTTACAATTGTTCAAAGAAAGTAATATTAGATTGATTAAGACTTAGTTTAATATAATTTATACTTGACTATAATAATTAAAGACCAGTCAAATTTTCTTCTCTTTACTCAGGATGAGTCAATAAATGCCAACTTCAGAAAACATAACTATACTCAATTCAAACTTTGGAAGCTAAATATTTCACTCACTTATTTTTTAATATAAACTATAATTTAATTTTAATTATACAAATTTTATATGATGCAAGCATAACAAATAAGTCAAATAAAATTAAAATATATGAGGTAATAATCAAACCCATGTTAAACTTATAATATACTTAATCAAATTAATAATATGATAATAAATCAAATTTATATACAAAAATTAAAAATTAATTTAAATTATCCAAAACCCACTTCATTTTTTTTAATAAAATTTTATTCCTTTTTATAAGTTATAAGACAGAAAGTGTACGTTTGGTCCCTAACTTCTTAACCTCTACCTTGAGACAAGATCTCTGTCCACTTCATGTGCAAGTTTGACTCCAACTCATTTTCTCATCCCAAAAAAAAAAATCTAATTAATTTCACCATTTAATTAATTAGTTTAACTTAATCCTCTAAACCCATTTATAATTCTGATTAGTTCGAAATGGGCCACATTTAAAAGCGATAAATTAATTATTAATTTAATCATAAATAATTAACTCTACTACTCTGTCCAAATCAACTAATCCTCTTTTTAATTAAAAATTAATTAAAATTTTCGGTGATAGCTCTAGAAACGGGAATGTTTATTTATTTATATTATTATTACAATATAAAACATAACAGAGATCATCATGATTTGGACCGAAATCCTACGTGGCAACAAAGTGGACCCCACTTCTCAAAATTATAAAACTAAAAATTTTTTGACCGAAAACGTCATGTCACTTTCCACGATGTAGCGCCAAGGCGTTTTGACTGCGTTCGGGCAGCGGTCAGCCCCGTTCGGTCAGCGTCCTCCACTCTCTCCGTGCACGCTTAAAAAAAAAAAAAAAAAAAAAACAAGTTAAAAGGATTAGATGGATGAATAGATAGATAAGTCAAGTTAAGTAACAATCTGTTTTCTCTTTCTATCACACTCTCTACACTCTACTTATTACAAAAGTAGAAAAATTATATTAAAGAAAAAAGGGAAAGGTTTTTTTTTATTTTTTTTTGGTGTTTTTGTTTTTGTTGTTGCCAAAAGGGAAGAGTACTAGTGGTAAAAACCCACAACTGTTTTCGAAAAAAAATTGGACTTTGATTTTTGGGTTTTGCTTGAATGAGATCAAGATTTGATGGGATGTGATTTAGAGTGGTAATGGTGGTGGGGAGTTTTGTGGGATTTGGGAGCTAGGGTTTTGTGGGTTAGTTAGTGATATGTTGTGTTGTTGGGGTTTTGTTTATTGTTTGGATCTGAGGATATTGACTGATTGAAAGCTCAAATGGAGGTAAAGGTTTGGGCTGTGTGTTTGGTTTGGTTGATCTTGGGGCTCCATCCATTATGGCTAGTTTCTGCTAACATGGAAGGTCTGTTTTTTGCTTTTTTTATTTTTTTTTATTGTGTCTTTGTAGAATTTGATCTTTGTTTCTGCATTATATGTTGATTTCTGAAAATGGGCTGTTGCTATTTTTGTTTTTGTGTATATGGTTAGTAAGAAATTGGTTTTTCAGCTGATTCTTTACTTGTTTATGCAAAAATTAGTGGATGACATTGTTTTTGTTTTGCTTTTTGCTTTTTCCTTGATTTCTTTGTAGTTCCGAAGTGATGTTAGTAATTTTAATGTTATGAGATGGATGTTTAACTTTTGGGGGAAAAGAAACGAATTCTTGTACTTGTGCTTCATTTATATCTTAAAAAGGGTTTCTTTTCTTTTTCCCCCCATCAATGGCTTTATGGTTTCCTGAGATTGTATCTTAAGGGTATGGTTTTTGATGAAGGCCTGTTATCAAATGCTGGGAATTTGAGTTTAATCTTTGCTTGCTGTGTGCTTTCGGTGTACATTGATTGATGAATAGGTGATACTTTGACAGTAATAACCATGTCAAGAGTGCAACTTTTCAACGGGCCTCACCAGTTTAATTGTTCTATGCCTAAGGGAGTCCTAAACCCTCACTAGTTGTAAAAGAATGTTCCTTTATCATTCAGCTCAATGCTTAACTGGTCATCATCCTGAACACCGTCGGCATCAGTGTCTGGAAAATTGAGAAGATTTTATCCTCTTCGTAACCTTTTATGTATCCAGTATATTGCCTCAAGCTTTCAAATTCTGTTTGTTAAATGAATATACTAGTAACTCAGAAATTACACATGACATTTCTTGCTTAAAGCATGTAGATTTGGCTCTGATACAACATGCCTTTTCAAATGTGCTGTAGATTATAGTCTGTGCCTTATTTTATTGGCTTATATCTTGAAACAGGTGATGCATTGCATAACTTAAGGACAAATTTAAATGATCCTAATAATGTTCTACAAAGTTGGGATCCTACTCTTGTCAATCCCTGCACCTGGTTTCATGTCACCTGCAACAATGATAATAGTGTTATAAGAGTGTAAGTTCTCCTATATTTCTTCCAAGTATGTGATTGTGGTGTAGCTTCTTAAATTTGTTCTTCTCTGCTTTTTGCAAACTATACCTTGTATAATGTTAGTTTTTGTGCCACTTTTCAGTGATTTGGGAAATGCAGCTTTGTCGGGGCAACTAGTTTCACAGCTGGGATCGCTCAAGAATTTGCAGTACTTGTATGTTATGCCTCATGATTTGGAAATTATTGCTGTTTTTCATGAGATACTTTGTTTTTACTGAGTTGTACTTTTTGCTTCGTGTTACAAGTGTGCATAGACTGCTGCATAGGAACTCTCTACATTCTTCTTTTTGTTGGAAAGAAATAGATACTGTAGTTGAGCACAGGCAAACTAACTTCTTTGATAAGTTGTTTGGAGTCAGAATTCTATATTTATCTAGGAGATCCAAGTATGGAATTCTGTTTCCTCCCTTTGATGATAATAGAAAACTTCTTCTGTTAGATTATGAAATTTTCTCCTCATACATGAATGGATTCGTCCAACTCAAGGCGGCAGTACGCCCAAGAAAACTTGCGTAAATTTTTTTTTCCTACCAAAATTACAATATCACTTAAAGTTTCTACGTTGAATCAATGAAGCCCATGTGCAAACCAGGGCAGTGTAAGATAATTGACTGAGTTGGCATGCCCGGGGTTTAACCACCCTGAGATAATACACATATATTCAGCTTTTGGTACTTGAGCTTAATTTGTTTAGCTGAAATTCATAGCAATGTTTTTATTTGCTGTGGAATGTGGTCCGATTTTTCCATCTCTGGAATGTGATACGATTCATGCTATATATGGAAGTTCCATAGATGTTAGCTAGCATGATGGGAAGTCTCTATGTAGAGAACCAGGATGGGACACCTTATATGTACATTTGGGTTTAGATGATGGATCATGCTGAGCTAGATAGTATTCTCGTATCAACCTACTCATCCATTAGTGTTCCTCTTGAGATTGTTTGATTTAGTGTGTTGTTTGGGAAATTGGAAAATAGAATGCATGATCTCTTATGTAGGTCCAAATCTGATTCAGAAGTTTTTGGTAAAACTCAATACCATCTCTGTGAATACATTTAGATTGTCAGTTTATTTCCCTTGAACAGACCAAGCAAGTTAGGAACATTGTTTTGAATCAAATCATTGGTTTCCCAAACAGCCATTGTGAGAATCTTTTAGCTTTTGCATGTAAATTTGATGCAAATAATTAAAAGTCTAGTCAGCTATGTTTATACCAGGCATGCCCTATTCTCTTTCGGGCCTTTTTCATAAAGAAATGATTGGCTTTTTATTTTTATTACAGGGAACTCTACAGTAATAACATAAGCGGACCTATTCCTAATGATCTTGGAAATTTGACTAGCTTGGTGAGCTTGGATCTTTACTTGAACAGTTTCACGGGTCCGATCCCAGAGACATTGGGAAAGTTGTCAAAGTTGCGATTTCTGTAAGCATGCTACTCCACATTGATTTCTTTTGTATATTTAATATTTATCTTGTCAAAAATCAATCTCTGTATTTGTTTTCATTGTATATTGTATGATGTATATAATCTCCAGAATAAATTGAAAGAAATAGAAACAAGTTATTGCAATTTTTAATAATTAAATAAAAGAAGTAGAAAAGGTTCCTCATTTAGCATTTAGTATTCAAAAATAGGGTTTTGATAGGGTATTCTTCTAAAAATGGCAGTTCATTGCGTTTCACTATATCATAGGGCACAATTGTTTAAAGATTCATTAGCTTTTTTGAACTTTTGCTGCAAAAGCAATATGGAATAAAAGCACTTTTATGTTTAAGCATAATATGCTGGTGTCTATATAAAAGTTTTACTAGTATCTCTTTATTGGTTTAGTTCTTAACAATTTTCTTTTGTTGGATGTTTTTGGGTAAGGATAGCCGGCTTAACAACAACAGCTTGACTGGTCCCATTCCAATGTCATTGACTAATATTTCATCACTTCAAGTATTGTAAGTGCCAATTTGATGTTTTTGTTTAAGTTGCTAGAAATCCCTATCTCTGAGGCATCATGATTTTTGAAAATGACTTGTTATGAAATTGCATTGTGGGGTACAGGGATCTGTCAAATAATCGGCTTTCTGGGGTGGTTCCAGACAATGGCTCTTTCTCATTATTTACTCCCATCAGGTTATTTGCTAATAATTTGAACTTTAATCATCTTGACTGACAGATTTTGTAGACCTTGCTTAATTAACTTGTTCCTTTTGCAGTTTTGCTAACAACATAAATCTATGTGGACCCGTTACTGGGCGTCCTTGCCCAGGATCTCCTCCGTTTTCTCCTCCTCCTCCATTTGTCCCGCCGCCACCAATTTCTTCACCGGGTAATCATATCATTTATCTTAGTTTGGACTTTTGATTTGTGGATAGTGCTTGCTATTATACTTGATAGAACTATTTCAACAAGTTTTGATGGATCCAAGCTTTCATAATATGTGTAGTCATTTGAATATGTCGTTATACTGTACTACCATTTTTATTTTGTTGTCTCTTTCACTTCCATTTTTCTTCTTCCATATTTTTGCGGCCAAGGATGTGTTAGGTAACCAGCTGGAAGCTTTATCCCTTCCATTATCTACAGAGACAAATACAACTCATCTTGTAAAGGCAGTATAGATTGTCTATCTTGACTGCTACTGATCCTATAATATGTTTGTATTAAAGCCAAAATAAAGTTATCATCTTTTTGAAATTAGGATAGAATGAAATGTGATTGACAATTAATCTTTTCTGCTACTCTACATTAAATTTGATTTTGATTAATTCTTTTGAACATTTTGATGCAAGATTGTTAATGCTAGTGATACTTGTAAATGAGTATTTGATTGTTTTCATTTTTTCCAATGCATGAAATTTCAGGTGGGAACAGTGCTACTGGGGCAATTGCTGGAGGTGTTGCTGCTGGTGCTGCCTTACTGTTTGCAGCCCCTGCAATTGCATTTGCTTGGTGGCGTAGGAGAAAACCCCAAGAATTTTTCTTTGATGTTCCTGGTATGGTGTTATTTGTTTAACTTGAGCGGATTCAGATTTGTCTGATGAATAGAAACATCAAATTTTATATGTATCATTGCAGCTGAAGAGGATCCTGAAGTTCATCTGGGGCAGCTTAAAAGGTTTTCACTACGAGAATTACAAGTTGCAACTGATAGTTTTAGTAATAAAAACATTCTGGGTAGAGGTGGATTCGGCAAGGTCTACAAAGGGCGCTTGGCAGATGGTTCACTTGTTGCTGTAAAAAGATTGAAAGAAGAGCGTACACCTGGTGGGGAGCTGCAGTTTCAAACAGAGGTGGAGATGATCAGTATGGCTGTGCATCGTAATCTTCTTCGTTTACGTGGATTTTGTATGACACCTACTGAACGGTTACTTGTTTATCCTTATATGGCAAATGGAAGTGTTGCATCATGTTTAAGAGGTAAGGCTTTTGAGGATGTTTTACATTTATCAATGATTCTCTGCTTTAATGGTCTGTTTGCTGATTCTCATAAAGATTTTTTTTCAACTTCTAACATCAAATCTTGTGTTTATCATCAATATGTGCTCATGATTTTCTTAATGGAATCTTTTAGAACGTCCTCCATCACAACCTCCTCTTGATTGGCGGACACGGAAGCGGATTGCATTGGGATCTGCTAGGGGTCTTTCATATTTGCATGATCATTGTGATCCAAAGATCATTCACCGTGATGTGAAAGCAGCAAATATTTTGTTGGATGAGGAGTTTGAGGCTGTTGTTGGGGACTTTGGTTTGGCTAAACTTATGGACTACAAGGATACACATGTAACTACTGCTGTCCGAGGCACCATTGGTCATATAGCTCCAGAGTACCTATCCACTGGGAAATCATCGGAGAAAACTGATGTCTTTGGATATGGGATTATGCTGTTAGAGTTAATCACTGGACAAAGAGCCTTTGATCTTGCTCGTCTTGCAAATGATGATGATGTCATGTTGCTTGATTGGGTATGCTCATTCTGCACTTTTACATATGATATTTTTTTGGATGTTATAAATCTTATCAGATGGGAGTTTTTTGCTTCTTTTTTTCAGTTATGAAAATCCTTGGAATCATAGAACTCTACTCTGATTTGACTAAGTTTCATGTCAGGTGAAAGGGCTTTTGAAGGAGAAAAAGTTAGAAATGTTGGTTGACCCTGATCTGCAGAACAATTATGTGGAATCTGAGGTGGAGCAACTAATCCAGGTTGCACTGCTTTGCACACAAGGCTCTCCTTCAGAGCGGCCTAAAATGACAGAGGTGGTGAGAATGCTTGAAGGTGATGGGTTGGCGGAGAGGTGGGATGAGTGGCAAAAGGTGGAAGTTCGCCAGGAGTTGGAACTCGCTCCACATCCTAATTCCGATTGGATCGTTGACTCCACAGAAAATCTGCATGCAGTTGAGTTATCAGGTCCAAGGTGACCCTGACACAGTTACAAGTTAAGAGAGGAAAGATTTACTACTTAATTTTTTTTTTTTTTCTTTTTTATCATAATTTTTTTTTTCTTTTTTAAATTTAGTGACCGTATCCTGATTTCTGTAAGCCCCATTCTGCATTTGTATTGATTACAGTTGTGAATATGAGTCAGCTTTGTTGAGGTGCAATTTGTATCACCTGCTGCAGTTTGACATAGTCTTAATGTTTCTAAATATACATCCATTCTGCTGTGGCAGCTTATTTGATTCTTGCATCCACTATTAATTCTCATTCCAATTATGCTTTTCATTTGAGAATGCCAAATATTTTGCTTAGGACTCCTGAATTCCTATGGTCTGAAGCACTGATTTCTCTACTTAATTGATTGGATAGTGTTTCACCATTTGAAGAATTTTGTTTCTTTTTTTACTACAAACAGTCAAAACTCTGCAGCATCATTTTAATCTGAAATTGAATCACTACATTCAAAAGGTATAAAATTGGATATGTTAATGCTAGGATTACGTTAATTAATATCTAATCATTCAAAACATAAATCTTCTTGTACCAGAACATTGAATTTGAAGCCATAGAAATTATAATCTCAAGTGGGAAGCAGAATTCCTAGAATTGGGAACTTAATAAGAGGTGACACCATGAGTGATTCAATAGCATTTCAATGTTGTGACAAATTACCCAATGCACACATGCAAAAGCACTTGAAAAATACAGAGTCAAACAGATTGCGCAGATGCAAACTAATCTTAGCACATCTTAAAGCCAGCTGAACAAAATGCATGGATGTACAGATAGAAGCTAATACTTTTCTAACAGTTGACTCACGATCTCCATGGTGGGTGTAGATTCTGGATTTCTCTCCAAGCAAGAAATAGCCACCTCCATGACAGATTTCTTAAAACTCCAAAGCTATATACATCACATTTTTTTTTATTACTCTCGTTGTGTAAACACACCCTGTAAAATAAAAGGTAAAAGTGATCATATTTCAAATATTCATTCTCTATGCAACTGAGGTTTCCATGAATAAATAATTCAACTTTGTATCTGGTGCCGCATATCCGTTTGTGCCTGCAAGTTGACTTCAATTGGATGAGTTTGGCTTGAGAAACCTGGCAGTTCTGAAGTCTGAAACATGAGCTTTGTACTCCAAATCCAACAACACATTATTGCTTGATATATCTTGATAGACAATAGGTGGAAAGCAATCATAGTGGATGTAAGACAAGGCACGAGCAACACCTTTACGATATCCCCTCTTTTTACTCTAATCCAATTCTGTGGCTGTTAAATAACTCAAAATTTTCTCCAATCTGCCTTCTTCTTTCTACTTGTAGACCAAAAAAAATGTTTTGAGTGAGAACAGAAACCGCAAAATTTCACAATATTTCAATGCCGTATCTCTGTCGAGGCTTCTATTTCTCTTAGAATCTCCTTTTGTTCTGTCATCTCATCTGTAATACGGGAGTGAATTTTCTTAACCGCTACGATTTTTCCTGATGTTCAACTTTGTAGACACTACCACTTCCGCCTTTTCCACTGCAATAATCGGAGTCGTAATTGTTTGTTGCCCTAATGACTTCTTCATGCACCATTTTTCCTTCAAACGTTGAAATTGAAATAAATGACTTGTTCTCATTGTTTGTTGATTCCCTGAGCTGCTTGTCCTCCTTCAAAAACCAAAGAATAGTCCGTCTAGCCCAATTAAAGGAGGAAGGGCTCCTGAAAGAGAGAACGGAATTGCAGACAAGATCTTTTGATTTTTTCCTAAAATATGGATGTGTTATGCAGAAGTGTTGCAAGGTTGCAGTCCGCTAACGTTACCACACAACCTTGTGTTCCCTTGGAAGGCTTCTTCAGGAGCATCTTGAAATGCTTTGGTGTTGGGAATTGGACCTTGCCATTCATTGTAAGATATGTCAATGTTTTGACAAACCATGCACATCTTTGAAACAGCTTAGATACATAAATTTGGAGAGGAGGCCAATTTTCAGAAGAGAAAGGGCTTCTTCAGTAGAGTCGGAAGTAACATCAAGTGAAAACTGTAACATAACAAACAAGACGGCCATGGAAACAAATGAAAATACTCTCTTACAAGGTTGACACTTCCATTGTTTATGTTATTTAATTTATAAAACTGATGATCATAAATTCGAGTCCACTAATACATGAAGTGTTAGGGCTTGAAATGTATCCCACCATCATCACTACTACTCCACTCCAGCTTTGTTTGTTTAGATGAGAAAGGAGAGTTGATTTGGAAATTAATGTGTTTTCACGTGGATTTTCAAATGTGAATTACTAACAATTTAAAAAAAAAACAAAAAAAAACAAAAAAAAAAAAACCAAACCTTAATAGTCTAAGTTTAGTAGCCTACACAAACTACTTTTGTTAAGATCATCAACAAGCACCTCTCCTTTTAATGAAACGCACTAAATCGTACTTAAAACCAAACTGCATCAGCTTTAAATAATATTATTGTTGAAATGAAGGCTTGAAACGGTGTCGTTTTGGAGTTAGTTATGTGCTGTCGTTTCAGGGCTCAACTTGGGTAAATCCTGACCATTGATCCAACTTTGATCCAGCAGCTGCTACTATCACTTCTGATCAACGGTATATAAGCAGTGAAGTTGTCTGATTGTTCGATCAAAGCTTCTCTTTTTTTGTTCAACGAAATTAGCTCCTTTGCTAGGGTTTACATTCTTGATCGAAAATCTGTGTAACTTGTGAGATTGAGTGATTAGGTTCTAATCATTCTGGGAGGGTGTTTGTGCTCTCAAGATTAGGGATTCTTGGGTGAGTTTCTCTAGGTTAGAAGTTATGGGTTGATTTTGATATTGAGGGATTAAGAGATCGTTTGATCTGTAAGTGCTTGTAATTGTTGTTCTTGGTTCATATTAGTGCAGTGAGCCCCTCTGATTCTGGAGCTCAACGTGGATGTAGCCTATCCAAATCTTGGATAGGTGAACCACGATAAAATATTGTGTTGATTCTTGTTATTGTGTGATTGATCTTTGTGTGTGTGAATGTAATGACTCTCTTTCTTACTAGTATACTCGTAAAATAACAATAAAACTCACTAAATATATATATAAGAAAATATACATATAAACGAGTATAAAATAATGGGCCCATATTTAATTTTCTTTATATACAAATCTTTACATAATATAATAAAGTCTCAAAATAGTAACTCGACAGTTTTGCCCAACCCTTCTGCTGCGTGATGTTCCAAGTGACCGCATCTCACCTGTTACCTGCAAAAACATTAAAAACAACGGGGTGAGCACTAATTGCTTAGTAAGTAAATCTGTTATGCTACCCTTCTCTCTCCGTTGCTTAAATTTTGAATTTCTTTTCTTACTTCACACTTCACCATTTTTCTCTATTCTTTCTCTACTCTTACTCTGTTTTTCTCTCTGTTCTTTCTCTATTCTAATTTCCCACTACTCAGATAATGGGCATGATATTATGCATATATATGATGCAAATGCACAAATACATAAAATATGCATTTTCTTTTCTATTCTTATTCTGTATTTCTTTCTTTCCTTTCTATTCTTTCTTATTCTTTTCTTTTCTTTCTTATCCTTTTCTTTCTTATTATTTTCTTTTCTTTCTTATTCTTTTGCCGATTGGACTCGGTTGAGGCATGGATTCGGAGTTTTGGCTGTATGAGTGTATTTTTCTTTCTTGGGTATAACCCTCATCCACATGCACTCTTACAGACCGTACAAATTCTTCTTTCTTATTCTTAGGCCGCTCACTAAAGGCAGCGTGCATGCGAGGAAAATTCTTCTTGTCACTCACGAGTTCCCCATCGCAACAACCTTTTCTGCTTTTTATCTTTTTACACTTCTTTAATTAAAAATTCAGATTTGAACTTCTTAATATTCTCATTTCTTTCTATTTACTCTTTAACATTCTTTAGTGCTTTTTCATGCTCTTATGAGTATGTATGCATGTAGATAGTTTTATGCTTATAATTCTTTCTAAATTCACATGTTTAAATGCAATTATGCAATATGGAATGCAAACATTTCATTCTCTACCATCTACAAACTCATCTCAATATAACACATAATCATACTCATATATGCACTTCTCTTTGACATTTCATCAAACAACTTATGTGCATAAATCAACTCTAATTTGGCTACACTTCTATCTCTTTTCTAAGCCACTAGAAATTTGGTATAACATCCTCCATATTTAACGCCAAACCTGTCCAAAATGTACACTCCTAAATTTCTACTCCAATTCTTCCAAATTTCATCCAAACTCACATCAAATATCAAATATACCAACACTACTTCTCATGGATAAGTTTTAATCATCATTCAATACCAAATCCATCAACAATTCTTCATATAAAACACATATATATGCATAACAGGAATTCTCTACACAATATTACTTAAATCATACTTAGGGTAGGATTTACTTACCTTATATGTGAGCAATCCAATACTTTAAAAATCTTCTTTGAACCAACTCTCTTTCTCTTAAATCCTATGAACACAAATCATCAAAATTCAATACTTTAAAAATTAAAACTCACTTCTTGGTGTAAGGATCTTACCTAAGGATGCTTGAGATTGAAAATCCACTAAAAAGTACCCAAAATCTATGAATTTCCCTTAAAGAAGGATTGAAGAAATTGAGAGGATTTGAAGGTGGCATGAAAATGGATGAAAAATGGCTAGGGTTTCATTCTTCAATTCTTGATATAACATATTATTATTTATAGTTTCCCATTTTGCCCTTGTACTTTCTATGAAATTTCATCTATGTCCCTTAGTCAATTACGAAAATGCCCTTATTTTTATTAACTTCTCCATGTTATTCTATCTCTTTTCACTCCCCACTTTTTCAACTAATTATGAGTGAAAATATCATTTTACCCCTAATGAAATTTTAAGGCATTTTCTTCACACTTTTTTCAAAATAACTTTAACAAAAATCAACTAAGGGTAAAAGGGTATAAGTAAAGCTACGTACTCGATGTGGGCGTTATAGTGAATTAGATATTATAGGATTATTCATAATGATGGTATTAGAGCTTGAGGTGTCTAGATTTGGTGATTTTCTAAGTCTTAAATCGATCTGATAGTTTCTCTGGAATTCTAGGGTTTGTTGAAATTTGGGGATTTCTCAATTTTTCTTGTCCTCTGTCAAATAGGATTTTGTAGATCTGAGATTTAAGGGAAAACTTAGGGTTTGTCGAATCTTGGGAAATCAGATACA